GTACTAAAGTTGTACTACAAAGTCGCCAGTTCTCATCTTCCAGCTCCAGATACTCCGCGTACTAAAGTTGTACTACAAAGTCGCCAGTTCTCAGCTTCCAGCTCCACAGATTGCTCCTTTAAAGTTGTACTACAAAGTCGCCAGTTCTCATCTTCCAGCTCCCCAGATACTCCGCGTACTAAAGTTGCACTACAAAGTCGCCAGTTCTCAGCTGCCAGCTCCACAGATTGCTCCGCGTACTAAAGTTGTACTAGAAAGTCGCCAGTTCTCATCTTCCAGCTCCCCAGATACTCCGCGTACTAAAGTTGTACTACAAAGTCGCCAGTTCTCAGCTTCCAGCTCCACAAATGCTGTGCCTGCCACGAAATCTGACACATGGAGGTTCACAAAGTGCTGCGCCTGGCACGAAATCTGCACATGGAGGTTCACAAAGTGCTGTGCCTGCCACTAAATCTGCGCATGGAGGTTCACAAAGTGCTGCCCCAGCCACGAAATCTGCACCTGGAAGTTCACAAAGTGTTGCGCCTGCCACGAAATCTGCACATCGAGGTTGACAAAGTGCTGTGCCTGCCACGAAATCTGCACATGGAGGTGGTGTGCGCATGGAGGTTCACAAAGTACTGCACCTGCCACGAAATCTGCGCATCGAGGTTCACAAAGTGCTGTGCCTGCCACGAACTCTGCACATCGAGGTTCACAAAGTGCTGTGCCTGGCACGAAATCTGCACATGGAGCCTCACAAAGCGCTGTGCCTGCCACGAAATCTGCACATGGAGGTTCACAAAGTACTGCGCCTGCCACGAAATCTGCACATGGAGGTTCACAAAGCGCTGTGCCTGCCACGAAATCTGCACTTCAAGAAACAACTGAAACCTCTAATCACAATGGAGGGACGATTCCGAGCATGATCCGACCATGACCTGAGACCGTCTCGCAACCGTCGTTCCGCGGAGCTTCCCCGTCGAGGTTCGGATAAGTAGAGGCATCACTCAATGCAATATATAATATATACTACATAGTTTTTATAGCATGGATCGATTTATGTTTTCATTGACTCTCGTGAACCACCCCATTGTGGAAAAAATGCATGGGTTGAAGAATAAGCTTGACCTCTCACCACACGTTTTATGTTACTAGTAAACCAGGAAATACCACAGCACAGGAGCCCATTCACACTCAAGACATCTCGAGACACATGCTGGCAGCTATACCAGGACCATCCTGTGGTGTCTAATGGACTACCCGACTTATGGACACCCAGACAGGAGATGGTCCAGGACCAAATCAAACGACCCCTCGCGCGTGGAGCCCACCTGCTCGTCAGCTCCCAGGTGAAGCTCCGTGACCGCGGTGTCGGACTGGGACGTGGGCGACGGCGAAAACGGCTTGTGGGGCCCATCCCCTATTGTAGGGCATGGCCCGGCAGGTTCCATGGAATGCAACACATTGGTAATTAAATGTAATTTGGATACTAAGTTGGATACATGGTACTTCTGTGATCTTCTGTGTGTTTCGAAATTATGATAAAAACCCTTTTGGAATCTTATTGGATCTGTTTTGGACCCATGGCCTGTCAATGTCGGAACCAACCGGTTGGAACCCACCTCCACGCGTTGTTTCGCCAAAAGCGGCGCGAAAACCAGCGGCCATTCTGGCGAGTCTCCCATCGATCTGGTGTCGATGGTCGGTGCACCGTTGGCCACGTTGGACTGACCGTTGGACCGACGGAGGTGTGGGACCCTGACTGGACCATGGCTGGCATCACGTGATTTGACTCGCGAAACATGGGCCGAGCGTGGTTCCAGTCCACGTGTGGAGGTACACTCGTTGATACTCACCTTAGCTGGACACGGCTATACTTCAAAAAGCCCATGCAAAAAAAGGGGGCCCCGCTGCAGAAGCCCCTCGATCTCCAGCACGCTTGGCTGGTTGTCTTCTTTTGGAAGATCCGGGGGTGCGACCTGAAGGAATCTCGTCTCACTGTCGTCTCGGAACTTCGACCGTCGCTTCTTCTCGTCTCAGGTCATCCGAAAAAGGCACGGTCACAAAGTCAAAAGGCATTGCAATCGATGTCAACCATTGTCAACGGAAGAGTCAACATCTGGACGACTTCAAACTTACTGTTGGCGACTGACCCACGTCGGCTTTCCGGAGACTCCTCCTGCCGGCAAAGGATTCAGAGCCAAATAACGTTGACCATTCCCGGTCGCTGTTCCGCATGTGCACTATTGCAGGGCATCCCGGCGAATTTGGAAACTGCGACTCTGGAGCGGACAAGCTTTACCTGAGGTATAGACTCAGGTTTCAGACAAAGACTTTGGAGGATTGTTTGTTCATGTTTGTTCTACAGTTGTCAAGATCAAGTCGAAATGCTCCAAATGAATCACATTCACCTGTTAACTTGAAGCGTTTGAATTTGGCAGGACCTTGCAGATGAACTTAGAAGGTGATTGGGGCACATCTAAGCTATCTTTTGTCAGTATCTGTTGCAAGGCAGATTTCTTTCAATGTCCACCGAATCTCCCCAGATCCAAATCCAAATAGTGTCAATCTCCCCAGATCCAACTTCCAGTTCCTCTCACTCCAAGAAAGGTAATTTTCCCGATCCAAACACCTCAGAGAGAGCTGATGTCCGTTCCATCCTCGCCACTCATGCGTTTTGGCGGCTCACTGCCTTGCTCAGCAGCGCGCTCGGGCGGCTTCCACAAGAAGCAAGCGATCAGCCCCAGGAGAAACATCATCCTGAGAGCTCTGCCGTCACCGGTGGCTAGGCCACAAAAACTCCATGAGGGGGGAAAAGCCTCTACAAACGTCTAAATGTAGAAGGAAGCAAAAACAAATCCAAAATCTTGCACGTCAATATATGTATAAAATAGTAATAATAATATAAGCATAAGATAACAATACTATATATAATATCATTGGACTACCATAACTATCTGCATTGGTCTGCATTCCCCCCTTGGGAAGGTCGATTTCTCAACTCATCGAAGATCAATATTGGGTCTCACAATGATGTTACATCATGTTACATCTAAAGACGCAGCCACGTATGCTTGCCCGCAGATTGTGCTTTGGGTGTGTTCAGACACCCCCCACCGCAGAAGCTGTTTTCAGACCTTCGCACTTGGATTGCATGATTACAGTAGCACTTATCGCATGATATCGCATGTATTGGACCCTTCAGCGAGAAGCCCTCTGAGACCACGTTCTGACCCTACCCACCCACGACCCGATCTCTTTTGCAAAAACCTAGTGGCACGAAGGCGCCAAACTGAAAGAGCCCCCAGCGTGGCAGCCCAAAGAGGATTGGTTCCTCCTCCCCGGGGACGCCGTACCTTGACGATGTACGTGGAAGAAGGGTTTCCAAGAAACGGTCGAAAGGACAAAAAATGTTAGGGCTCATTCATTCTTTTTCGACCGCAGCAGGTGTAGGCGTTCTGA